GCTGGAGGATTATCGGTTTGGGAGGCAGCAGCTCATCGAGATCTGGGGACACGCCTGTGCCGTGGCTGTCACCAAGGTGAGGTGGCCGGGGGGGCTGGGGACATCACACAGGGCTGGGGACACCACACTGGGGTGAGGACACCACACTGGGGCTGGGGACACCACACTGGGGCTGGGGACACCACACCAGGGCCGGGGGAGTTGCTGCCAGCTGCTCTCCCACCCTCCTCCTGCCCCCCTGTGTTGTCCCACCCCGGCTGTGTCTCCCTCCCACTCCGGACCGAGCTGTGGGGACAAGGGCCAGCAGTGCTGGTGGCACAGCCCGGTGGGCAGCGATGCCACGGCCGTGCCAGGGCTCCAGCCTCTCCCTGGGTGGGTTTCTTTGCATCCCTCAACCCCCCCCATTCACTATCCGCCCTGGGAATTGGGCTCAGTCACACAGCCCGTGGAAAGGGGGGATGCTCAGCCCGTCCTGGGGTGTCAGGTGAGGGGGGGTCTCTGGGGGTCCCCATGTCCTGGTGATCCTCCCTCGCTGGGGTCGCCGGGTGCTCGTGCTGGATGTGAGGAGGAGGAAGAGAAGGAGGAGGAGGAGGGGGAGGAGGCAGCCGGGCAGCGCCGAGGGGCAGCATCAAGGGCAGCTTTGTGAGCTCCGCGCCCGCTGCCTCAGCTTTTCCGTCGGAGGTGGCTCTGCCCTTCCCTTCTCCAAGGGCAGCCGGGTTGCCCGAGGAGGAGGAGAAATATTTTGGTGCTGGAGCCTCTCGGGGCCGCCCCCGGGGCTGCCCCCGGGGCCGCAGCATCCCCGGCCCCGCGGGGACTGAGCATCCTCCCCGTGGGGCCGAGCATCCTCCTCTTCCTCAGGGAGAACGCCCAGCCCCGGCATCCCCCCCCCAAGCCGGTGTTCCCCGGGCATTGTCCCCTCGGGCACGTCCCCGGGAGGCGCTGGCAGCGCGGCCGGCGCCGGGGCAGGGCCGGGGCCGGGCTCACACGGGCCGGGAGCTCCGGGCGCTGGCGGGGGGACGGGACCCGGAGCCAGGCTCCGTGAGCAGGAAAAAATCCGTCAATGGATAAACAGCGTCCCCGGGCAGGCTCCTGGTATGTGGAGCACGGAGCCGCCTCCCTGCAGCTGGCGGGGAGCCCCCGGGCCCGCGGGCACCGGCCCGGCCTGGGCAGTGTCCTCAGCCCTCCGTGGGCATCCTCCTGATCCCACTGTGGGCATCCTGCTGATCCCACCGTGGGCATCCTGCTGATCCCACCGTGGGCATCCTCCACATCCCACCGTGGGCATCCTGCTGATCCCATCATGGGCATCCTCCTGATCCCACCGTGGGCATCATCTTCATCCCACCGTGGGCATCATCTTCATCCCACTGTGGGCATCATCTTCATCCTGCTGCAGGCACCATCCTCATCCCACCACTGGCACCATCCTCATCCCATCCTGGGCATCATCCTCATCCCGCTACGGACCCTTGTCCTGCCCCACCCCAGGTGCCACCCAAGTCCTGCCACTGATGCCACCCCCCATCCAATCCCTGTCCTGCCATGGATCCCATCCCCGTCCTGCCGCGTGTGCCACCCCCATCCCACCCTGGGGATTGTCACCATCCCACCCCATGCCCTGTCCCGCCCTGGGCAGCATTCCCCGTCCCCACCCTGCTCCATGTGCCACCTCCATCCCACCCCGGGCACCATCCCCATCCCACTCCCACCGCGTGGGTCCCCTTCCCCCTCCTTCCCCGACGCCCCTGCCCCCTCCCTGTGCCCGGGTGCGGTTTGGGGGTGGCACGGTGACACGGGGAGGTGGTGACCGGCCATCCCCGTCTCCTCCAGGCGTTCCCGCTGCCCTCGCTGCCCCGGAAGCAGCCCACGGTGCTGGTGGTGTGCGGGCCGGCGCAGAACGGGGCCATCGGGCTGGTGTGTGCCCGGCACCTCCGCAGCTTTGTGGGTACCTCCCTCCCCTCCTCCTCCTCCTCCTCCTCCTCCTCCCCTTCATCCCTGAGCGATGCCGGACCCCGAGCCCGACCCCTCCCCTCCTCCCGCAGGACTACGAGCCCACCATCTTCTACCCCAAGCGCTCCCCGGACCCCCTGTACCGGGATTTCACGACACAGTGTGAGAAGATGGACATCCCCTTCCTCTCCTACCTGCCCACCGAGGTGAGACCCCCCCAGCCCCCTCAGTCCTCCCAGGCCCCCAGCCCCTCACAGCCCCCCCAGCCCCCGCACTCCCAGCCCGACAGCACCGAGTTTATTCCTCCTTTTTCCCTCCCCTTCATCCCCCCCGCCCGGTCCCGGCTCTGCTGGGAGCCCGGGGATGCCATGAAATCCAGCGGCGGCTGCCGCGGCCCCGCCAGCCACCGGCTCTGTTGTTTTTGGAAGGCTCCGGGCTGGGGCGGGAGGAATTTGACCCAAAAATCGCTGCCCTGGCCGCGGCCGCGCGTCTCGGCGTGCCGGGCTCTGCCCCGCGCCCCCCCTCCCTCCCTCCCTCCCTCCCTCCTTCCTCACCTCGGGGGGGGGGATTTTCTTGGCCGTAGCCGCTGGGTGAGTCCAGTCCTGCAGGAAAACGGGATCCCCGCGTGGGCCGGGGCCGGTCCCTGGGTGGGGGGTGACCCGGGGACCCTCCCCCGTGTGTGTCCCACCCCACCCCCGTCCCCAAAAGGTGCAGCTGATCAACGACGCCTACAACGCCGTGGTGGACGCCGTGCTGGGAGCCGAGGCGGAGGCGGGCGAGGGGAGGGAGCCCTGCGCCGCCATCCTGGCCACCCTCAAGCACATCCGCATCCCCATCGTCAGCCTGGATGTGCCCTCAGGTGCTCAGCCGGTGCTCAGCCCCCTCCCCGGGCTCGGGATGGGACCCCCGACCCGCCGCTCCTCGCATTCCTCACCACCACCCCCCCCCCGGTTGTTCCCCGCGGTGTCACCGCAGTGCCCGAGCACCCGAAGTGCCCTCCCAGGGTGGGGACATCCCCGGGGACCCCCCCGCTGTCCCCCCCCAAGCCTGGCAGCGTCCCGCGGGGCGAGGCGGATCCGCTCGATGCGTTCGGGGCATCCACGGTAAATAACAAACTCCCCGAACTGAGACATGATGTAATTTGAAAACACCCGGGCGTCTGGTGGCCAGGCCTGGAATTGTCATCACCCCCCCCCCCCCCCCCCGGGGGGGGGCCCCCCCCCCCCACGCCGCGGGAGCAAACAGGAGCCCTTGGCACGGCCGCTGGTGAATCCCCACCAAGAAAAACCCCGCGTGGAGCCAGGCCGGGGGCGGTGCCGCGGGGGCAACACGCTCCCCGTCCTCCCCGTGCCCTCCCCCCCCCCCCCCGACAGCGCCTCGACCCCTGGGGTCACCCCTGAGCCCCTCTCTGTGTCCCCACAGGGTGGGAGGTGTTTTTGGGGGGAGGTCGCTCCCTGAACCTCTCTCTGTGTTTCCACAGGGTGGGACGTGTCGGGCTTGATCCCCCTCTCTGTGTCTCCACTGTGTGGGCCCGTCCCCTGGGGTCACCCCTTCTCCCCGTCCCCACAGGGTGGGATGTGTCCCCTGGGGTCACCCCTGAGCCCCTCTCCCTATTTATTCTTCTCAGGGTGGGACGTTTCCCCTGGGGCCACCTCCTCCCTGTGTGGGTGGGGATAGGGCAGGTCCCCTGGGGTCACCCCTTTTCCCTGTCCCCACAGGGTGGGAAGTGACCCCTGAGGTCTCCCCGAGCCCTCTCTGTGTCCCCACAGGGTGGGAAGTGACCCCTGGGGTGCCCCCCAGCCCTCTCTGTGTCCCCACAGGGTGGGACGTGCCCCTGTGGTCACCCCCTCTCCGTGTGCCCGCAGGGTGGGACGCGGAGTCCGGGGGCAGCGGCGGGATCAGCCCCGACGTCCTGGTGTCCCTGGCGGCCCCCAAGGAGTGTGCCCGGCGCTTCCTGGGCCGCCAGCACTTCGTGGCCGGGCGGTTCCTGCCCTACGACGTCCAGAAGAAGTTCGAGCTCAACCCCCCCGAGTACCCCGGCACCGAGTGCGTGGTGGCCCTGTGAGCCCCTCCAAATAAAGTGCTTGGTGGCTCCTCCTCAGGGTCTGTGTGGGGTCAGGGCCATCCCGGGTTGGGGTCGGGGGATTGTGCCGGGACTCGGTTCCACACTCGGCCCCCCCCCCGTGTGTCCCCTGGGAGCTGTTCCTGGGCATGGACCTGGTGTGACCTCCCCTGTGGGGACACGGGCAGCTGTGGGGGCCCCGTGGGTGGCTGTGGGGTCCCTGGTGCTGCCACATCCCCCCGTAGCCTGAATCTCCCGGAAAACACCGGGAAAGGGTCGCTGGAGCAGCCCCCCCCCCTCCACGGGGTGTTCATCACCAGTGACGAGACACCGCTGGGGACTGTTCCCCCCCCGCCCCAGCAGGGAGAGTGTTCGTGACCCCAGCGCAGCCCCTGGAGCTGCCTCCCCCTCGGGGGGCTCCGCGCAGCCGGAGCTCCGGGGAATGCAGGGAATGCGCCGGGATTTCCGCCGGCCGGGCCGAGGGAGGGGGCTGGGGGTGACCCGGGGCCGGGGGGCGGGGGGGTCCCCACGCCGCCAGCCCCCGTCACAAGGGGTGTTTTGCATCCCGAAACGCCGGAGGGGCAGTGGGGAGCCGTGCCCGGTGCCAGCCCCACCCTGGGCTCGGCAGCGGTGCCGGGGCAGCGCCCACCGAGCACCGAGACCCCCCCCATCCTCCGGCAGCGGTGCCAGGGCAGCGCTGGCACCCCCGGCTCATCCCCGACCGCGGCAGCGCCGAGGCCGGGCTCGCTCTCGCCTCTTCCCCTTCCCTCCCTCCGCATTCCCAAGTGCATCCAATTTTAGCAGCTTTGCAAAAACAAGCCCTCAAGTTTCCCGGGCTGGAGCGGCGGCACGGCCGGCTCGGGGAGGGCTCCTTCCCGCTTCCCACTTGGACACGGCTCCGGCCCCGTGTGCCAGGAGCGAGGGGGACAGGCCTCTCCTATAAAGCCCCGCGGAGCCGTTCCCGCTCCCAGTGCCGGCCGGAGCAGCCATGGGGGAGCTGGCGCTGGCACTGCTGGCGCTCGCTGCCCTGCACGGGGCCGGGGCCACAGGTAAGGGCGGCTCTGCCACCCGGCCGTGGCACGGGGACCACGATGTCGGGGGCTGGGGGCCGAGGAGAGGGGCAGGGTGGGGATGGGGATGGGGCTGAGTGCTGGCCGGAGGTGTGCCGGGGGTGGTGGTGTGTGCCGGGGGTGATGATGTGATGTGTGCCGGGGCCAGGCGTGTGCCAGGGTCGTGGTGACAGCTGGGATGGTCACAGCTGGATGGTCACAGCTGGATGGTCACAGCTGGATGGTCCCTGTGGCATCTGACACATCGGGGACGCTCAGGGGGTTTTGTCCTCCCCTGGGTCGTGGCACTGGATGGAGGGGTGGGGACATGTCCCACGCTGTGTCCCCCCCAGCCCTGCTGGCTCTGGCACCACAGGGCTGAGCCCCAGGAAGGCCCAACTGGCTCGGTGTGACACCGGGTTCGTGCCCTGGTGGGTGGTGTGTGGGCACCTGGGGTCATGTCCTTGCCCCACATCCCCCCTCCGGGACAAGTTCATCCTGGGACAGCCAGGAGATCCCAGGCAGCATTTTCCATGAACACCCCTGGGTTCATCCCTGGCTGCCAGGAGGCTGTGGCCCCTCCTTGGCCACCCTGGACAGTGGAACTGATAAATCCCACCCCAAACCCCCTTCCCGCATGACCATGGGGGCCTGGGGGGCTCAGGGTCCCCTTTCCCACTGGGTCACGGCTTTGATTTGGTGCCCGTGGCTCAGCCAGGGACCCTCTGTGTGCCCCTGGAATGGGGTGCCCTGCTCTGGGGGTTCTCCCACCCTTTGCATCCCCCAGAGCCCCTGGAGAACGACTCGGAGCCCGGGAAGAGCGGAACGGCGGGAAAGCCCTGGAAAGCTGCCCCCGACCCGGCAGAGCTGGACCTGGACACGGCAGGTTTGGCTGTCCCTGAGCCCCCAGCAGACACCGTGTCCCCACAGTGCCACACGAGGCAACGTCCACCCTGTGCCACCCACCCCACGGAACCCCCAAACTTCCTTCTGCTCCCCAACATTCCCGCGTCCCCAGGATGTCCCTGGCTGTCACCCCGGGGTGCCCAGGGGGGCGGGGGGCACTCAGGGCCGGCTCCATTCCCAGGTAAAGGCGCCGAGTGGACGTCCTGGTTCAACATCGACCACCCCGGGGGGGACGGGGACCACGAGAGCCTGGAGGCCATTCGCTTCTACTACCGGGGCCGCGTCTGCGAGCGGCCCGTGGCCATCCAGGCCCGGACCACCGAGTGGGAGCTGCCCGAGGAGGTGGGCGAGGTGGTGCACGCCAGCCCCAAGAGGGGCTTCCGCTGCATCAACAAGGAGCAGCCCCCGGGCAAGACCTGCTCCAACTACCACATCCGCTTCCTCTGCCCGCTGGGTGAGTCCCCCTTGCATCCCACATGCGTCCCACCACCCCAGACCCCACTGGCACCTCGCGGGGGGTCCGCACCCGTCACTGTGCCCTCCCCTTGCTCATCACCCCCCTGCTCCCCATCCCGGTGGGAGCTGTGGGTCCCCTCGGAGCGGCCACCCCTCGGGTGCCGCCGGCGGGTCCCCAGTTAAGGCCCGTGCCCCTCCCCAGAGCACATCTACTGGTCCCACTGGTCCTCGTGGAGCCCCTGCTCGCGCCGCGCCTGCGGCAGCAGTGGCACCCAGACCCGCGCCCGCCGCTGCCTCAGCGCCCGCCCCGCAGCCGCGCTCAAGGAGGTCAAGTGCAAGGGCAAGGCCGTGGAGCGCCGGCCCTGCAGCGCCGGGCCCTGCCCAGGTAGGGACCCCAAAACCCCCCCACCGGCACCCACCTGCCCCCCGGGTGCTGCTCGTCCCCTGGTGACACCCACCTCCGGCTCTGCTGGCATGAGGGGTCCCGTGGAGACGTGAGCCGGGGTTGCCCCCCTGTTTGGGGACCCTCCGTGCTTCATGACCCCCCCAGGCCAGGTGCTGAGGGGCCCGTGCTGCCCGATTCCCATGCGGTGTCCCCCCCGCAGAGCCTGCCTGGACGGAGTGGGGCTCCTGGGGCCCCTGTTCTCACAGCTGCGGTAGCGCCGGGACACGCGTCCGGCGCCGGAGCTGCGAGGGCTCCAAGAAGACGCCGTGTCCCGGCCGCCCCACCGAGGTGCAGAAATGTCCCCCCTCGCCCTGCCCAGGTACCACCCTCGGGGACATGGGGGGACCCCCTCCCCGGTGCCCGCCGGCCCCGGGGGTCTGAGCTCCGTGCCCCCGCAGCCTGCCCCGAGCACACGCTGCAGGGCACCGTCGTCACCGGCGCCGGGGCGGCGCTGCCGGACGCCAGGATCTACCTGGAGGGCTCCCCGCTGGCGCTGCTAGGACGCAGTGACGCCCACGGGCGCTTCACTGTCACCGCGGGGCTGTGCCAGGGCAGCGCCAACATCAGCGCCCACCACGAGGGCTTCGCCCCGGCGCTGGCACCCATCACCTCCAACAGCTCCGGCCCGGTGCTCCTGAGGCTGCGGCGGCTGGGTGAGCATGGTGGGGTGGGTGGGGGGCAATGCACCCCTCGGGGGGTCACCCCAAAGGGTGCGGGAGGCGATCCAGGGGTGCCCATGGCTCGTTCCACCTCGCAGAGAAGCCCTACATGGTGCTGCACCCCAGGGCGCAGGTCCGGGAGGCCGGGCAGGACGTGACCTTCTGCTGCAAGGCCTCGGGCACCCCCGTGCCCAAGAAGTACTACTGGTGAGGCGGGACGGGGGGGGCGGCGTGGGAGGGCAGCGCCGGGCGCATCCCCGCTGAGCCCGTCCCCGTGCCCGCAGGTACCACAACGGGACGCTGCTGGAGAGGAAGGGGCAGCAGCCGGGCGGCCGCCTGGCACTGCGGGGGCTGGCGCCGGAGCAGGCGGGCACCTACCACTGCAAGGCCAGCTCCGAGGCGGGCGCCATCCGCTCGGTGCCGGCACAGCTCACCGTGCTGGGTGAGAACGGGGTGGGCCTCACCAGCCACGGCATCCCCCCCGGGTGGGGAACATCATCCTGACCCCCCTGACCCCGCTGACCCCGACCCCTCCGTGCCCCCAGCCCAGGGCCAGCAGAGCTGCCGCTCGGAGCCGGAGCCGAGCCTGGTGGAGCTGCCCAGCGAGTGCCCCCAGGACGCCGCCGGCTCCCGCCACTACAACGTGGGCCGGTGCCCGCCCTCCCCGTGCGCCGGCGGCCCCGGCGACCCCTCGGGCTGCGGGGGGGCCCCGGGGCACTGCTGCGGGGTGCGCAGGATGGAGCTGCGGGAGATCCCCTGCGCCGGCTCCCTGCTGCCCGTCAAGGTGGTGGCCGAGTGCGGCTGCGGGCCCTGCGCCCAGCCCCGCGTGCTGGTGCAGGGCCGGGTGACGGCGGCCGACACCGGGGAGCCCCTGCGCTTCGGGCAGATCTTCCTGGGCGGCAGGAAGGTGGGATTCACCGGCTACAAGGGCTCCTTCACCATCGAGGTGCCGCCGGACACGCGGCGCCTGGTGGCTCGTTTCGTGGACCGGCAGCAGCGGTTCCTGGATGCCGTCAAGGTCCTGCCCTTCGACCCCCGCGGGGGAAGCGTCTACCACGAGGTGAAGGTGCTGCGGAAGAAGGAGCCGGTGGACCTGGACAGCAGCCGGGGCAACGCCATCCCGCTGGGGGAGGCGAGCGGCCGGGAGCCCATCGGGGAGCTCGTCCTTCCCGCCGGCGCCTTCCTGCGCCCCTCCGGGGAGGTTTTCAACGGCACGGTCAGAGCCAGCGTCACCTTCCTGGACCCCAGGGACGTGGCGACGGCCAGCGCCGCCTCCAGCGACCTCAGCTTCGCCGACGCCGAGGGCGAGATCGTCCCCCTGCGCACCTACGGCATGTTCTCCGTGGATTTCCGGGAGGGGGAGAGCGGCGCGGCGCTGCAGACGGGGCCGGTGCAGGTGCGGATGGACACGGGGCAGGTCTGGATGCCGGAGCACCTGCAGAAGATGAAATTGTGGTCCTTGAACCCCGAGACCGGCCTGTGGGAGGAGGAGGGGATCCTCCGCCCGGCCGCGGGCAGCCGGCGGAGGAGGGAGGAGAGGACCTTCCTGGTGGGGAACCTGGAGATCCGGGAGCGGCGCCTCTTCAACCTGGACGTGCCGGAGGATCGCCGCTGCTTCGTCAAGGTCAGGGCCTACAGCAACGAGAAGTTCAACGCCTACGAGCAGCTGGAAGGGGTGGTCATCAGCCTCATCAACCTGGAGCCCCAGCCCGGCTACCCCAGCAACCCCCGCGCCTGGGGCCGCTTCGACAGCGTGGTGACGGGCCCCAACGGCGCCTGCCTGCCCGCCTTCTGCGACGGCCAGCGCCCCGACGCCTACTCGGCCTACGTCACCGCCACGCTGGGCGGGGAGGAGCTGGAAGCCGTGGCCTCCAGCCCCAAGCTCAACCCCGGCGCCGTCGGGGTGTCCCAGCCCTACCTGGGCAAGCTGGGCTACCGCCGCTCGGACCACGACGACCCCGACCTGAAGAAGACGGCCTTCCAGATCAACGTGGCCAAGCCCGACCCCAACAACGTCGACGAGAGCAACGGCCCCATCTACTCGTACCGCAGCCTGGAGGAGTGCGAGCGGGCGCCCGCCAGCGCCAACCACCTGCGCTTCTACCGCGTGGAGGTGGACAGGTACGAGTACAACGTGGTGCCCTTCAGGGAGAGCGACCTGACCTCCTGGACCGGGGACTACCTGTCGTGGTGGCCCAACCCCCAGGAGTTCAGGGCCTGCTACATCAAGGTGCGGATCGAGGGGCCGCAGGAGTACATGGTGAGGTCTCGGAACGCGGGGGGCACCCACCCCCGCACGCGGGGGCAGCTCTACGGGCTGCGGGACGCGCGCAGCGTGCGGGACGCGGCGCTGGACGGCACCTCGGCGGCCTGCGTGGAGTTCAAGTGCAGCGGGATGCTCTTCGACCAGAGCCTGGCCGACCGCACCCTGGTGTCCGTGGTGCCGCAGGGCAGCTGCCGCCGCACGGCCGTCAACAACCTCCTGAGCGAGTACCTGAGCCGGCACCCGCCGCTGGCCGACAACAACCACACCGGCGCCTTCGCCATGCTGGCCCCGCTGGACCCGCTGGGCCACAACTACGGCATCTACACGGTGACGGACCAGAACCCGCGCCTGGCCAAGGAGATCGCCATCGGCCGCTGCTTCGACGGCACCTCCGACGGCTTCTCGCGGGAGATGAGGGCGGGCGCGGGCACGGCCGTCACCTTCGCCTGCCAGGAGCGGCCGCCGGGCCGGGAGAGCTTCTTCCAGCGCCTGCTGACGGCCCCGGCCGAGGCGCTGGCCGAGATCCGGCGGGAGATGGGGACCGGCGAACTGCGCCGCGCCCCCCCCCGAGGTGATGGACTTCGCCTCCGGCGCCCGGGCCCCGGGCCCCACGCCCGCCCCCCGGACCCCCAGCAGCCCGCGGAGGCCGGGTCGGATCCGGGGCCGGCCCTGAGCGCCCCTGGGTCCCCCGCGCCCCCTCCCCGGCTCAGCTCGGCCCTCCCTTTCCCCGTCGCTTTTTACCCGCGCTCATTTATAACGACCGGGGGTGTGGGAGGGGGGATGCACCGGGGACACGCGGAGCGGGACCCTCCCAGGGCGGTCCCCGGGACCTGGGGAGGGGGGTGTCAGCGGGCCCCCCCGCCGGCCTCGCCAGCCCCCTCCGGTGCTGCCCCTGCCCCCGGCCCGGCCCTGCGCGGGGCAGCTCTTGGTGCTCAGCCCTGGGACAGCGGGGCCGCGGCCCCGCGGGGTATTTAAATAAAAGGAATAAAAGAGGGGGTGGAAGCAAAGAGGGGACGGGGCTGGGATGGGAAGGGGGTCCCCGCCCCGCGGAGCTCCCAGGGCTGAGGGTGCCGGGAGCTGGGAGCGCCCATCGAATCCCTGCATCCCACAAGGAATCGGGGGGCTTGGAGGGGGGGAAAACGCCGGGATAATGTGGGTAAGATGCCCTCCCTGTGGTGCCAGCCCTTCAGCCGCGGTGCCAGCCCCACCCCCGGCACCCTTGGTGACCCCGCGGCACGGAGGGCAGGTTTGTACATTATTTATTACGAAATATAGAGTCGTGTGTACACCCGCCTGGCTGCTGGGCTTCTCGGTGGGGTGGGGGGGGGGGCAGACACGTGTGTCCCTCTCCCTCCTCGGTGCGGTCCCCCCCCCTTGCCAGACCCTGCCCCTGTTCGGTAGCACCGTCCCGGCGGCTCCTGTTTGCCTTGGGGCGGGTTCAGCCGGGCTGGCGGAGCCTCGGGGGGCCCCGTGCCAGCTCCCCGCGGCCGGGGGACGTGGCAGCCGGGGAGGGGGGGGGGCCCCATCCAGCCCCAGGGGCCCCCCCCGGCACAGGGATGTGCCCAGTGCAGGAGCCGGGTGACCCCAACCAGGGCGAGGGGCAGGGGGTGTCCGTCCGGCTGACGTCTGTCTGTCCCCCCCCAGGGCTCGCGGTGGGTTTCGTGGGTCCCTCCCCCCGCGCCCCCTCCCACCCGCGGCTCCGGCGGATGCTGTAATGGAACAGGCGGCGTTTATGGGGCCAAACCCGGGACAACATTTCCCTTTTACAACCCGCTTTGGCCCCGGCGAGGCATTTTTTCGCCCTTTCACTGGATGCGGCCGCTCGAGAGATCAAAGGGGACACGAGGCCCCCGGGGGGGGACGAAGGGAGGGGGCGGTCGGGGGGCTTTTGCCAAATCAGCAGCCAAATCCCAGCCCCTCTCCCTCCCCATCCCGCCGGGATCGGAACCCACCGCAGCCGGATGCCGGCACGTCGGGTGGGCGACGCCTCGGCACGGCCAGGGAGGAGGCACCTGGAATGCAAAGACTCCATCGTGGGGGTCCCACTCCCGCCCAAAACCTGGGTGCAGCCTGTGCCTGGGCGCTGCTTTTCCCTGGATGCTGCATATCCCTGGATGCTGCCTGTCCCTGTATGCTCCCTGTCCCTGTGTGCTTCTAATCCCTGGATGCTGCCTGTCCCGTGTGCTGCCTGTCCCTGGATGCTGCTTATCCTGGGTTCTATTTATCCCTGGATGCTCCTTTTCCCTGGATGCTGCTTATCCTGGGTTCTATTTATCCCTGGATGCTGCCTGTCCCCGGGAGTTGCCCCGCAGGGATCCACGTCCCCCTGCCCAGGGAAGTCCGAGGGATGCTCCCCCACGGACACCTCTGGCAGCAGCCGAGGGGCCGGGCGGGCCGGGGGGGGCCGGGATCCGGGGGGAATGCCAGCGGGCAGGATTGTTTTCCACCATCTGCTTGGCTCGGAGCAGGCGGCCGCGCGGGCAGGGCAGATGGAAGCGGCTCCCGCTGCTATTTATGGAGCCGGGAAGGAGAACGGGGGGGAAAAGGCAGAAAAGCAGCAGGAGAAGGGGCTGGTGGGACCCCCCCAGATCCCATCCCGGTGCCAGCCGTGCCCTGGGGTGCTCCAGGCTCTGGGTGTAGCGGGGACTCCCTCCAGTCCCGGGGGCACGGAGCAGGGACGGGGGCACAGGGGCAGGGACGTGCCGGGGCTGCGGGAGGTCCGTGCTGGGTGTCCAGCCCAGCCCCACATTCCCGAGGGCTGGAAACCCGCCCGGGGTCAGGGGCTGGGCTGGGGGCTGCAGCCAAAACCCTCTTGCTGCTCCCCCCCAGGTGTGGGACTCTCATCCCCAATCCCGAGGGTCCTGCACCTTCCAGGCTCTGGATAAGGAGCCCCCTGGTGCTGATCCCCCCCCACCAGGCAGGCCTACACCCCACCTGTGTGCCACGGGCACCAAAACAACCCCCAGGCCCCTCCCGGCTTCCAGGCCATGCTGAGCATCCCTGGCTGCCAGCTGGGACACTTCGGCCTCTGATTCCCTAGTCCTGCCCAGAAATGGCCGGCACATGGATCTGTTGGACCCACAGCAGCTCCAGATTGGGATACCGGGGGGGGGAGAACCCCATGGAGACCCCATCCTGGACCCTCAGGCTGTGGGATGGAGAACCCGGCAGGGATTTCTGGAGCACAACCACCTTGGGGTCAGAAAGGTCGGGTTTGGGGCTTCTCAGCCCCTCAGAGTAGGGGAAGCTCCTGGCTCTGCTCCGCCACGGGAAGGTGGGAGACTGGGAATGGAGCAGGGATCTCCTTGGAAGTCCCCCAGCACCCATGGGGTGTTGTGGGTCTTGAGGTGACCGAGATGTGTGTGTTTGGGGGTCCATCCAGCTCCGACGATGCCCCGGAGGCAGGAACAGGGATGGAAACGCGCCGGGAGAGCTCCCGGGTGGCGGGAGAGCGGGATGCGGGCGAAGAGGGGGCACCGCGAGCCCCGGGATCCCTGTGGCGACGGGAAAGGCAGGTGGGGGCAGCTCAGCTGCTTCTTGTTACCCCCCGGCCCCCGGCCAAGAGGGAATAGCAGAGCAGGGAAGGGAACGGGAGCCCAGAGCCGGCAGCTCCCGGCCCGCCCCGGCAATTAGGGATGGCCCGAGCCCAACGGCAGCGGGAAGATGATGTGCCGGCACATCGGCCCCCACGGCGGGGATGGGGCTCCTGCTTGGATGTTCCCCCCCCTCCAACAGCATCCCTGCATCCCCCAAACTCCCCCCCCAGCCCCCCGGGGAGGTGGGATCCAAGGAAAAGGGGGTTCCACCACGCTGTGCCCCACGAGCACGTCCTGGCTCTGGCCGAGAACAAAAGCTGCTCGGAGCTGGAAAGCACCTTGGGAAGCTGCTCGCTTGCTTCCCTTTCTTTCTTTCTTTTTTTTTTTCTTTGAAATAATGGAAAATATAATGACAGTGCCTAAATTAAAATAATAAAAGGAAGCAGCTGAAAAGCCGACCCAAAATAGGAGAAAAAACCCACGTTTCAGGCTGAGAGGGATCAGGTGCAGGCAGGGGATGAAAGGGAGAAGCAGAGGAGCTGAGCCAGCCCAGGAACCCCCTCTCAGCCCCTCCGAGGGGTCTGGGGGGGCTGTACCCCACCATCTCCCGGGGCCAAGCCACGGGGAGGGGGCTGAGCAGGGAGCTGCTGACCCCCAAAATGTGCCCCCATGAGTCCCCTCCCCGTTCTGCTCCTCTTCCAGCACAGCAGCTCCTGCTCAGGGGCCTCATCCTGCCCAGGGGGTGCAGAGGGGGCTCCTCCATCCCCCATCCAGAACAGGAGCATCCCTGGGGACCCAAAACCAGAGAATCCCTGGGGACCACAAAGTGGAGCATCCCTGGGGATCCAGAGTGTCCCAAGGGACCCCAAACCAGAACATTCCTGGGTATCCAGAGCATCCCCAGGGGGCCTAAAATGGGACATCCCAGGAGACCCCAAACCAGAGCATCCCCCAGTATCCAGAGCATCCCCAGGAACCCCAAACCAGAGCATCCCTGGGAACCCCAAACCAGAGCATCCCTGAGGACCCCAAAGTAGACCTTCCCCAGGTATCCAGAGCATCCCCAGGGACCCCAAACTGAAACATTCCTGGGGATCCCAAACTCAGGCATCCCTGGGCAGCCTGAAGCAGAGCATCCCCGGGCATCCAGAGCATCCCCAGAGACCCCAAACGGGAGCATCCCCGGGCACTGGGAGCATCCCCGTGCATCCAGTCACGGGGGGACACGGGAGGTGCCAGCTCCCCGTCTCTGCCGCGATCCAGCTGCCGAATTCCAGGCCGTCTGGCCAAGAGGCGCCGCTCCGCTCCCGGCATTCCCTCTGGACAACCTGCCGGAGCAGGAAAAAACACCGGCCCCAAACACGGACAGAGCGGGAACACGGGACCCCACCCGCTCCCGGAGCGGGGCCATTAGGGGATATCACCGCGTGTCCCCTGGGAAAGGGGCCGACAGGAGCTGGGATCCGGGCGGGGGGAGCAGTGGGAAGCGGGAGAGGGGCTGCTCGGAGCGCTAACACTTGTTTTCCGAAGCGATCCCGAGGCGGGATGCCACGGGAATACGGCCGCGCTCCAGTGCGCCGGCTGCGGGACAGCCCTTGCTGCTGCACATTCCTCTCCCAGTTGCTTTTTCAATATATTTTTCGAACCCTTTGCACCTCAATATCGCCGTTCAAAACGAGCCGGCTCTGGAAAAAACATCCCTTCCCAGCTTTTTAAGCTATTTTTGAACCCTTTGGCCCCGGTTCCTCCTCAGGCTCCAGCCCATAAATAATAATAACAACATCTTTAAAGCCTTTTCGCTGACAGTTCACCGAACCTGCCAGAGCCTTTTCATTCCCCAGATGTCGAAAATCCGCCTCTAAAAAAAAGAAAAGAAGAATCAAAAAAAAAATGGAAAGAAAAAAAAGAAAAAAACCCTGGAAGTTTGGTAAATATTTGGTGTGTTTCTCATTTCGCAGGCATCGCTTTTTTTTCTATCACATGAAGCAGGAGAATAAAAACTACTAAAAGTGGAGCAGCTATTTCGGGAGCTGCGGGGGGGGGGGGGGGGGGGGGGGGGGGGGCCGCTGGCTCGGAGCACCGGGATGAGCCCGGAGCATCCCCGGGGTGGGGCTGCCCGTGCCAGGGTCCCGTGCCC